GTCCAGCTGCCAGCCTGCCTGCCTTCACTCAGAGACAGCTGGGGAGAGAAGTGCCAGCAGGTCCTTTCAGGAAGAAAAGGAATCCTGGGGAAAAAAAATCAGGTGTTAGGCAGTCTTAGACTGATGAGGAAGTGTGAGACCATGAGGCTGACAAGGTCCTCCAAGCCCCAGCTGGAATAAGCCAAGAGTCACCAGGCAGCGTGGGCTCTAATGAGGCTCTGGTGGGACCAACTCTGACTGAAGCAGGGCTTCTAAACTCATGGAATCTTCTAAATTCATGGAATCACAGAATGATTTGGGCTGGAAGGAGATGATCTAGATCCTTCCATGGACAGGGATACCTTCCACGAGAAGGAATTATATCGGGTTATTCATGACCTCATCCAGCCAAGCTTTGAAAATCTCAAAAAAAGGGGATTTCACAGCCGCCCTTGGGCTTTGTTCCAGCACTTGAGCACAGCTGAGTGGTTCCTCTCTGAGCTGACTCCTGCATGGCCACAGCCTCATCAGTTCCTGCAGGTTCATATTCCCACTAGACACATTCCATAGGAGCATCAGCACTGGCCACTATTCCTAGCGGGACAGAATTAACTGAAATTTGAAATGATGCCTTCATTGGTGGACTCAAAATATTCAAAAATCAGGACTATGCTGTTTTTTTACAGTGATTCTTTTCATGGTGATTCATCCTCCAATATTATTGCAGTGTCAGGGTTGCTGCCATCTCAAAATAAGGCAGAAAGCCTGAAAATCATCAGAACTGCATTAGACACAGACCTGGTAGCTCAAAATGAAAGGAACAAACACAATTTCCCTGGTGTCCCATTAACCTCAGAAATATGATAGAAAAACTGAAGTCACAATTCAGGAAAAAAATTGTTAAATAAAATCATCACCTGAACTGCACCTGAAGATCCTGCTCTTGTAAACCCTGCTTTGAGCAGAGATTCCCTCCAAACTCAAATATCCTGTGTGATTTTCAAACAATTTTTTGCATTGTTTTGAATTTTACTGTATTGAAATGTTCATTTATGTGCTTTCCTCGAACATAGCATTAGTGGGGAACTTGTTGATAAAGCCATGGAGTAAAACTGAGAAATGTTTCAATTATATTTGATGTAACTCCAAGCCTGGCCTGGCAATTAATTTATTTTTTTATGGATTTCTCTGCATGAGCTCCTTAAGTCCTCTGTTTACCAGTGGAACTGTCATGCTCATACTTGTTTTCTCCCTATCAAAACCACACACCTTCTTTATTTAATTTATTGCACCAATTGCTGGAATTGTGCAACTCCTGTGGATTCTTTCTAAAGCCTTCAGACAGATGACATCCAACAGGGGAAAAAAAAATAAAGCCAGAGGAAAAACACCCTTCTCAGAATGGAAGAACCTCAAGTCTTCTACACCTGGTGCCCAATTTTTGGCAACAGCAAACCCCAAATTTGCATATTCTGATATGCAATATTTTGATAGAAATTTGGAATGAGCATCCTTGGTGTTTCCAGGGGAAAATATTGTTGTATCCTTAGAAAAACAAGGCCTTTAAGATGGGTAAAACCTTCAGACCAGGCATTGGGTGCTGGGAAGGGATGGAGGCTGAGGGAAAGGGAACAGGGACATGGAGCAGGATTTGGAAAGGGAGAGGGGATGTGGGTGGTCTGGGCAGGAATGCACACACAGCACTGGCGGTGTTTCTGCACCAAAGGACATCACCTGCCCCATCTTCTGCTCCTCGTGTCCCATCCGTCCCACATTTCAGTAAATTTGGGTAAAAAACACCAAAAGTCCAGAACACAAACCCTTCTGCAGCTCAGCTGGTGTGGAGGACAGCTTGCTCAGAGAAGAGACAGGAAGGAGGTGACTCACAAAGATCTCCTCAGTCCTCTGAAAGCTGTGAGATGCACCACAAGGCAACAGCCTGTCCCTGAAGATAATCCAGTCCTAGAGCTGGGACAAAGCACTGGGAATAACACTGGCAATAGAACAGACAGGCTCATCCTGGGGACAAAAGCCAGAATACGCTGATTTACGGCAAGAGGAGGAGAGATTTATTTTTATTATCCAAGCCAACCTGAATCACTGGAGAGGCAAGAGCTCAAAAATAAAGGCTAGGCCCACGTCCTTTCTGGGTTTAATTGCAGTCACTCCAAGGGGATTTTTTTTAAATAAGGATGCCTGATGTTATGTCTGAACTGAAAAGAGAAAAAAAAAAAATTTCCATTTCAGTTTGGTCAAGCCCCATGAGCTAACCTGGGCTAAAATAGAGGTGAACAGACTCCAGGAACAGAAGAGGGATGGACTGGGTCAGATCAAAGGTCCTCATGTGCTCAAGGAGGAACACCCAAGCATAGGAAGCTGTGACTAATTCCCACACCATATCCAGCCCTCAGAAACCCACAGCTTCAGGAGGGTTTGCAGGTCCCAAGCTGGACATGTTGGTGAGCCTCTCGTGGGCCAACCCTTCCTACGACAGCTGAGCCTCCACCATATCCCACAGAAATGAGCTCCTGGGCTGGAGAATGGCTTGTGGGACAAATTACTGCTGCTCAGCTGGTTTAAACCTGCTGTGTGGGCACCCCAGCTCCTTCAGGTCAAAGCAACAGCCCAGAGGCCATTTGGGTTTAGGCTGGGGTTGAATAAAAATTGCTGAATTTAATGAAATCCTATGTGGGTTTTCCTTCTTTCTCTTTACCCTTATTTTCATTAGAGATAATTAATATGAATTGGTTAACTGGCACTAAAAACATACTTTCCTCTTTCTGCCTGAAATTAAAACAGAATCAGGATGTAGGCAGGAACTAAGCCACGGATCCAAACACACTCCAGGCTTAAGGAAAGCCCAAGCTCCAATCTAAATTTTGTGCTTGAAATCAGGGGAAAAAAATATTTCAGTTTGGTGAGAAGAGCTTCTTAGTCTACAGAATAATATTCTATCCCATTTTTATTTTATCTGTGTCTACCTGATTGCAACAAGGATGAATGATTGCTTTTCCCAAGGCTCCAACAGCAATAGTATACATCCCTTCATTCTTCTTTCTTCCCAAATATTTCTGGCAAATAGTTTTCATCTCTGGCTTCTTACACCCTCTTTTGTATAGGAAGGCTCAGGACATGCCTGGCTGCACAGAGGGGTCACCCTCCAGGTTACTGATTAGGAAATAGTAGGGTTTGTCAACATCTGGCCCTGACAAACTTTTTAAAATATAAATACAGATGGTTTTATTTAAAAGGTAAAAGGTCCAAATTCGACTCAAGGATGAAGCCTGTTTTCTTTCCAATCTCATTTTTTCCTCTGGATGTTTGGTACGTTGTGTTCCATTGCTATGAAGTGTAATAACATTTATATAATAAAACATAATTAAGAAATGGAAGTACAAATTGGGAGTTCTTTCATTTTGCGACTTACTCAAGAAATTTCTAGCCCAAACTGAGTAGAATTCATATATGTCAAGTATTTCTGAGAACTTATTCCCATGATTAGAGGGAACACAAGGCTCAGTGAAGTAGAATAAAGAGAATAACTAACTGCTACACCTGTGGACCAGAAAATTAATTTCCTTTATCCAGAGTTTGAAGTGTTGCAGCTGAAGCTCTCTTGGCCTGAGCTCTGATCCTGTTTAATTGTACAGCACCTCACGTGCAGATCCCATTTTAGCAATTCTTGCCCAGGTAGGTATTTCTACCCCAGAAAATAAAAGTCAAAGCCTTTACAACCCATGTCCTTAACTTTTCTCTGTGCAAAAGTTCACAGACTGGCAGCAGCAAGGTGCTGAATTACCAAAGAAAATTACTCAACAAATTCTGCACAACAAGAACAAACTCTCCACCAAACCCCTCCAGTTCAGGCCACCATAATCCACGTGGATAACCCAACATTTGTCTCTCAGTGAGCCCTGTGATCAGGCACCTGAATTTACAGAAATCATCAACCCGTGTCTCAGGCCTGACACTTTCAGTGACCTCTGGATTCTGCTGCTTTAAAAATACCATCTCATGCAATCTTCGTGCCCCAGGGCTGATAACCCAATAAACCCACATCTTGTCATTTCTTCCTGTTTTCCTGAGGCTTCTCATCTCTTTTTCCCTGACAAAAGCAAGGGGATTCACTCTCTCTGTAGAACCCTGTGTTGAGCACAGCAAAAACAGGTTTTGTTGGGAAAAGGGAGGAGGGGAGAAGCACAGAACCAGCATTGTGAAGGCAAAAGAGCTGGACTGAGAACATTGTTTTTATCAAGTGGGGTGAAAAAAGATGGCATTCCTTAGCTAAGAGCTGGATAATGCTCATAGCAGGGCACCAGTGAGCCTGGAGCAGAGACAAAGTTTTGGAGATTTATATCCTGGGAATCTGACTGTGGCTCTGCATGGTGTTCAGAGCAGTAAGGGGGTGAGTGTGATGGAGACAAAACCCCCTTAAATGTGAATGTGGAACTAATTAAAACATCCTGCTCTGCTTCATCAGCTCAGAGCCAGGTCTTTGGGTAGACCCATGAGTCTGCTCTGGGTGGTGTTTGTGCCCAGGGCTGGGATAAAGGAACAAGGAGAAAACTTGCAAAAGGCTGAGCTTGTGTTGCTGTAGGAAGGGTTTTACAGGACAGGATTAAATTCCAAATATTCTTGGAAAACCGCTGAAATGAAAATCATCAAATTGCACAGAAAGGAGCAAAGGATTGTACGTAGGAAGGGGAAACCAATTATGAGTGAGGGGCTGGAAACAGGGGTTGGAGGGGATGTGAAAATGGGAAAGGTGATGGGAATAAACTCAAAGGGAGGCAGAAGAGAACAGATGGATTTAGAAAAAACAAACCAAGCTTGGAAAACACAGTGCATGAACAAGAATTTTTTGTCTAACCTAGAAAAGCAGCAACCGGAGATGGGAAATGTGTGTTCACCGCTAAACACATAAAGATCATTATCAAGGCAAAGGCAGCCAGCAGCTCTCCAGGAATGCTCCAAGGAGCACATGAGGCCTTTGGCTTTATTTGCAACAAATACCTTGAACATGTCTTCAGATTTAAGCACTCCATGAACTTGTTATTTGTCAGGATTTCTTTCTCCCTTCTTGGCACAAAACATCCTGAAGGCAGCAGAAAATATATATATAAAAATATAAAATAAATACACGCAGCAAATATATCTTAACATAAAAATATATAACATATATATTATTATATATCACATATATAAGTGTATATATGTTATATATATTATATATATTATAGATATTTACAGCACATCACAAAAACCTTGGGAAAACTTCAATTTGGCACATACACATGGTTGATTCTGCCACAAAGACTCTGTTTTCAGTGCAGTTTTTGCACTAAGCCCATAAAACCATGACACCTGAACCCCTGGGAGCAGCAGGAGCAGTGGGTCACACGTTGAGTTTTGTGCCATCAACATGCAAGGCTGCTTTTATACAGAACATGAGGTCCAAAAGCATCAAGCAGCACTAAACTGTACTTTGCAATCCGATTTTTTGTTAAAATACGGGTTTAATTTGCCGTAGGACTTCAGGAAATTAAAAGAAAAGGGGGAGGACCCAGCACCATTTACTTTAAGAGTTGCCTACTGTCTTTTCCTTCTCCTGCTGTCCTGCAGCCCATCCTGCTACTGCCCTTGAGGGACACAGTGGCATTAGGGTGACATTTTGCACCCTCAATAACTCAATGGCCACAAAGCAAATCACTGAGGCAGGAGCTGAAATTCCCCCAAAGCCCCACCACTGACCTCAGCAGCCTCCAGTGGATCCTTTGTTCAGGGCACAGATCTCACCCAAAACCACTCCTTTTTGTCTCCTGCTCTGCTTGAGCTTTGTGGAAGCAAAATTCCTGCAGCACCTGCACTCCAGGCAAACCTCAGGGGACATTCCAAGCTCTGCTGGCCTAGATAGGATGCAAATAATCAAGGTTTTACCCTTGTGACGTGTAACCATGCCTGGGCAATGTTTCCTGGAGCAATCCATCCCACAGTCCAGATGGGAAGTGCTGTAGCAGCTGACAGGGGCTGCAGCTAGAAAATTCCACTGGAGATTTAGGAGATTGTAGGAAATATTCCTGAAGCTTTTATACTCCATGTGCAGCTGCAGCACGGAAGGCAAAACAGGATGTCGGCTGCACTGGTAGAGGAATGTTGCTCTAATTGAAAAGATTTGGTTATTATTGTATGAGGAAATGATAAAATCTAGTGCAGAGCATGGTTTGGTCAAGAAATGATATGGGAAATAAATTATATTGGTTCTCCAGGCTTAAAACAGAAAAACATTGAGGACAATGGGCTTGTTCTCATTTCTGACAGCCTGTGGTGGATGGATCAGCTGTAACCTTCAGGAGAATGATGTTTTGTGTGAGTTTGCTCTGTTCAGCTGCCAAGTGGCAAAAAAGACTCTCAAGCAATCTCTCTACAAGTCCCTGTGTCAGCACAGCTCTGCAGCCACACAGCCAGCCCCACCAGTGCCACCTCTGCTCCGAGGAGACCCCAGCACAATGCCACCAGAAATAGTCCCAGGGACACCCAAAAAACCCCTAAAATAAAGGCAAGAAGCTGCCTCAATATAAGATAATTCTGAGGGTCACGTCACCCCAGAGAACTCTGGTTTTTACACCAGGAGCTGCATGCCAAAGGCCTCTGAAGCAGCCAGGCCCTGCCAGCCTGGGCTCCATCCTGAGGGACATTTCACGCTTTGCCCCAGGCAACCCAAATATTTTGCAGACATTTCTCCACCAATGAAAGAGAGAAAAAGGCCAAAACTGCCACTAAATCGAGCTAATGACGCAGGGCTGATTAATGAAAGAGGTGAGTGCTGCACTGTTGGCCTGCTGGGAGGTCAGAGCCAGAGGGAGTTTGTTGATATACCTTCAAAAATAGGTGGAGCAGCCAGAACAGATGTGCTCCCATGGAAAACACAGCGATGGAGAGAGGTGGAGCTTGGCTGGGTCAGCCACACACGATGATTTGTCAACCACGGCCTGAAAAATGGGCATAAAGACACGTAATTAAACCCACACTTCCCTAATAAAGGCAGGACAGCTAGTGGGTTTGGAGAGTGAGAAAGAGCAGCAATGTTGACACCTGGAGATATCAAATCCTGCTTTTCAGAGGACCTGGAGGGGTTTGTGGGATCCCTCCAACCCCTCTGTGTCCCTTGGTGCTTCTCACACGGACAAGCCCAACACCATAACCTCAGGGGTGGCTGCCCTCAGCACCAGTTTAAAGTGGGTTAGTCTCCTTGCTCCTCCCATAACACAGAATTTCCTCACCCCAATTAAGGGCTGAGCTCCTTCTCTGGTCTCTCAGCCATCAATAGAAGATTTGTGGGGTCTCCAGGGATGTTTGTTGTTCTCCAGGGATGCAGAGGCAGCCCAGATGCTCAGCAAAGACCTCTCATGAGGTGCTTTAAGGTACCTATGACCTCATGGATCCCCGTGGGGAAAACAAAAACAAACCCCAAAACCCAAATCCAGAGGTTGATGTAGAGACACATGGTTTTCTCAAAGCATCAGAAGATTGCAATTTTTTTTTTAAACTTTTCCTCATTCTGAATTTTATATGTCATCTCCTGGAGAATACCATGGTTCTTTCTCCATGGTCACAGTAGCAGAGGTCTCACAAAAGCAGTTTGTATTTTCTAACATCATCAAAAGAACAGCAAAGAGAAAATGATCTGTCTGGGATATTTGAAAGCATTCCCTTTGCTCTGGTTTGCAAGAGACCAGGCCAGATTTCTGCCACATAAAAATTCAGCAAACAGGAGAGATTTGAAGGAAACTTGAAAATGGCAGAAAAGAGAAGGAAAATAAATTAAGGAGGTTTATTTTAGTCTATGATTTCATTTCTTAAGTCTTATATTTGAGCATCATCTGTCTATAGACACAGGTTATTTTTTGCTAAAACATTTAGCTGTTTATCTTTTCTGCTCTCCATGCTACGGTATTTCTGGCCAGAAATAGGTTATGTATCAAATTCACACCTTTTTACTCATTTCTTAATAAAAATCAGCTAATTGTATCACCCCTTCTCCCTGCCAAGTGGAGATTGTCATTTTATTTGGCCTATTCCAACTTGTTTTTTGTAGAAACCATAATATTTTTGGCTGCTCCTTTCTTATTTGAGAAAGTAAACTTTGCAAAACGACATCAAACTTCCACAAACACGAGCAGATTTGGAGCTGAGAAGTGCTGCCTTCACACCAGGCCATTTCTCCTGAGCCAGTGCAATCATTACTCAGTGCTTGCCCGTGAAAAAGCACATGTTTAAATTTTGTCTAAGTCTCTTTCAGCTTGTGTTACCTCCAATGTAGGGCTTCAATACTTGGATGAAGGGGTTGAGTGAAGTAAATGGAAATATTTGCTGGCTCAGTGGGTCTCACCTTGCAGCTCCACCACGTGAATTGGGACGATCACGCTCATCCTGTGGAGTAGAACACCCAAACTTGGCTAAAGGTGACCAGGCAGAGGTGCTGATCCTCCCTGTGTCCATCCCCTTCTCTCCCAGCCCTCTTAGCTGTATCCTCACCAGCAAACCAGAGGCCATCCCATTCTCACCTCAGCAGCAGCTTCCAAGTGTCAAGCCCTGCTCCTGGACAGGCTCCTCCTGCGGAAAGATAAGGAGGAACAAGAAAAATGCAAACACCACTTGGCATTTCCAGTGATACTGGAAATATCCATTTTTGGGACAAAGCCTTTTCTTTCTCAGACAGAGAGGTTGAAAATGATCTGCTGCTGGGAGCTCAGCCTGGTTTTCTAAGGAAACAACAAATCAAATGCTGCAAAAGCAATGAAGGTTGGCACTGGGGTCGTGTGGGTGTTTGGCTGCTCCTGTGTTCCCTCCCCCTGCTCCCTGCTATTCCAGCTTGAGCTGACTCCAACAATGTGACCCAGACTATCTGCCCTGGTTGCTCTTCCAAATTACATCCTGCCTGCAGATATCCTTCAATTCAGCTCGTGCTGCTTGGTGGTGTCTCAGATTCTGAGCTGGAGGAGCCCCAGAGCCCTGAGTTCAACGCGGTCAGTTCAGCTCCAGGGACACCTCCAGCCCCCCGAGGGTCCCAGCCCAGCTCCCACCTTGCAATGCTAGGAAGCAGATTTGGCCCAGGATTTTAAAGCAAAGCCCTGTGCAGATGCCCAGAGTCAGGAAAAGCACGAATGGTTTGCGTTGGCCTGCTGAAACGTTGGCCATGTTGCTTAATTGTACCTTTGTACGGCGGATTCCAAGAAGGAGGAATAAAAGCAACTCTGTGCATTTTATTGCTGAGGTCAGGTTCCTGTCTCCCCAGTCCTGTTTCTCATTCTCTAATCAAATCACTCCTCTTAATACAACCAGTTCCTAAAAGTCTGCTTGTCATAAAGTGCTTTAACCTTAGAATTTTATTTACTATGACCTTAATTGAAGGGTTTATTCAGATTTCATCTATAAAATGCTTTGTGTAATCAGTCAAAAGCTCGAGATCAACAGCAAGGCCTGAGCCCAGAAATCAGCTCTGCCAAGCCCAGCCACTCTCAAGGTGACCTTAAACAGGGTTGCAAAAACACTGTCTGCAAGTCCAGAACAATACAGCACATTCAGAGAAAACAATCCCAGCCTTAGCAAGACCGAAAATCCTTTGTGAGGATGTAACCTAGAAAAAGCTGGGTCTTGGCCATCTCACTTTGAGACCTAATTTTTCAAGCTCTCTCATGATGAAGTGAAGGAGAATCCCACATCTGTGCCCAGCTTGGGAAAAGGGACCAAGTATCTGGCATGCCCTCAGGAATTCTCCAGGGAAAAAGCATGGCCTGGGAAAAAAAGATAGTTTTTGATCATTCCACAGTGTTGGGTGTAATAAAGCAGGAGAACTGAAATGCCATGGCCTGGTCATTTGTTTCCAAGGAATAATCCAGGCCACTGACTTGTGTCTGAAGGTACAACTCTTCCCTACTCAAGCTCAAGCTCTTGGCTTGTTATACAGGACACTTTTTTTTGCAGCATTAATAAGAAATAAATCAAGTGAAATCTCTCCTGCAAGTGACTTTATGGGGTTGCTGTGTCTTTTTACAGATGCCTTGTAGGTTCCCACGCTGAAAGACATTCTGTTCATCACGAAGCATTCAGCATCATGAGCAGTCACGTCTTTATAGTCACAGCCTGGATTTCACATGGCTCTAAATAAAAAAATTAATAAAAAAAAGAAACAAACAAACAAAATAAAATAAAATCACGTGCCCCAAACATGTTTTCTGGAAATATTTTGATTTTCAAATTATGTGTGTACCCTAAAATGAGAAAAATCCTTGACCAAAAAGAGCTGCTTGTTGAAAGCATTACTTGTTTCTTATTTCAAAGGGAAAATTGAAAACACTTATGAAGGGTGTAGCTATTTACCAGTCCAGAGTGTTCTTATAAACAAAATAATGTAAAACATATCCTCTTTGCTGTTTTGTTGCTTTAATATCTTCCAGCATATCACAATGTGGAGAACAGAGGAGAAAATAGAGCGTATTTCCAAAAAGCCTTGCAACAAGGAAAAAGGGTAAAGAACAAAGTGTTTCAGCTTTAAATACACAGAAAACATGAGACAGGTACCAACTGTCCATCAGAACAGCTGAAGAAAGCCTCTTGTGCAATTTACCTGCAATTCCAGTTGGGCACGTCAGGAAAAGTGAAGAAATTTGAAGGCCAAGAGAGGAGTTGAGTTCATCCAATGGACAAATGCATGTAGGAAATCCTTAAACTTCTTTGACAACCACTCCACAGAAATTCAGCTTGACAAAACAGCAACAAAGTGAAGACCACCATTGAATCGCTCTTATTAAACATTGCTCCTCATTTTATTGACAACTGTGATGCTCATCATAATTGCTTTACTCACATCATTTTACCCACAGAGAGAGCCCTGGGACCACGAAAAATAATTCCATGTGCAGAGCCTCAAACACGCCTCTGGCAGATGGGTTTCCAGCCGTGAAGGATGGAGAGGATATCTGCTCTTTTCCCTGGGGGGCACAGGCTGTGACAGTGCTTAAGAGGCTGAAGAAGTGGAGGAGCTGGTTTGTTTTAAAAAGAGACAGAAAGGCTCTCTGTCCTTTCACATCTGTAGAACAGCTGGATTTGTCCTGTGCTTCATCCAGGCATTTGATCATAATTTTTGTCCTTTGTAAAGCAAGCAAGGGTCCAGAAACAGCCCTGCAGCAAGGCAGGAGTGATGCATTTGCTGACGCTGGCCTCTGCATGCACCACACACCTCAGAGGAGCGAGCAGGCACGTAAAAGAAATGCCAGGGGAAGTTTATTTCTGTTTCCAGGCCCATGTGATTCCCTGGGAGAGGCCAGCTCTGCCCAAATCCATGCAGTCTTTCCAACTGCAACAGGAAACCACCCTCAGCAATGTCACCATTCACAGCTGGGACCTGCAAGCCCCTCCAAGGGCTGTTCTGAAGCTTGGCTGGTGCTGGTGCTGTCTTCAGGCCAACTGCCCCTGAATTTCGGGGTGGGTTGGGTGTGTTTGGCTTTCCCCTTCTCACCCTGTTGGTATCAGCAGTGTGGGGCTTTGGAGGCTCAGCAGCTCCAGCAGCAGCAGTGAGGTTGTGCCAATTTACACCCCCTTGGGTATTGCTGATGAGGGTTTGCTGTGCCTGAAAAACTGAGCGTCCCATTCACACCCTGAAAAAAGCCGTTTACAGTTCCAGCCTCATGGATAAACCAGCCTGTGTTCCCCTGCTGCAAACCCAGCACAGAATACCAGACTGCTTTCATTAGGGAAAAATTAATTTCTGGGGTGAAACTTTCCTCAAGATTCTCATTCATTTGCCCAAGAAGTTGAGGTAGGATTACAAATTGTATTTCCCAGACACCTGGGACCAGATTCTCCAAGACATCAAAAGAGATTAAAAGATTTACCACAAGGCAGAAAAATTGTGTCTGTAAGGACATTCTTCTAATATCAGAAGCACAGAGCACAACCCAAGATCTTTGGTTCCTGCTGT